AAAAAAGTTTTCTTTTCTCCTATCAATTAGTTTGCCTATCTCATCAAAATCAAGGTGAATTTTTTCATCAATTTGGGCTAACTTAGTAAGTCACATGGTTCCTCTTTTGCTTCTTTTTTTTTGGGCTTATTCCTCTTCTACTTTCAACACAATTGTTAATTGTGTATATTTTATGCACCTTAGATATAAAAGATTTTCCAAATCATGGTACAGGATATATTATATTTGTGTACTTTCTCAATGCCTTCAACACCAATATCAATTAGAATATCTTCTATTTGATCAAACAAATCCATATCATCATCATCCTTATCCGATGGCACTACACTACATCTTCAAGATTCACCATGCATACGCTTTGTAGAAACCAAAACAAATTAGGTGATCTTTTATATCCATAGGACTTTATCACAACCCCTTCAAACACTTAACATATATACAATAGAATAATCTTTTATTATTAAGAACATTGTTATTTATAAATTTTAAAAATTGGTCTACCCCCCTCTCATATTTATCGCTTGTCCACAAAGCATTTTATCCAACTACGATTTATGATTACCTATTTAAAATAAAAACAACTAGTTTTTTTATAAATTAAAAAAATAACAACACAACAACTTATAAATTGGCATTCCCCAAGCACTGAAGCCTCACTTGACCAATTTCAATAAATGTTAATATATAATCAACAATTACAAATTTTAATCAATAACCAAATCAAGATTTTTTACACATTCAAGCTATAAAATAATTATCTAATTACACTATGCAAATTTCAGTGGATGAAATAGGTAATTCAAGGTTTAATTTATAGGTAATTATTTGATAATTACCTAATTAAAATATCAAACAATTTCTCCATAATTTGTATGAAATAAATTAAGAAAACTATGTGGGATATTGTCAATATCTCAATGTCTAATTCTTAAAGGCTTGAAAAATTTAATTTATAAATTGCCTTTTCTAATACATCAATACAAAATAGTAAGAAAAACCATTCATCCATAATGAGATTATCATATTCATTATATCCAAAAATTTTATATCATATTTATATTAAAACAAATAATTAAAAAATATAAAAATAAAGGCTGAATACGGAAGCTTAAAAAAATTAATGTCATAAAAAAATATAACAATAAGGGCTAGACATGTAAAAAAGGAAAAGGATGAATGGAAATGATTTGAAAAAATAGAAATTGATAATTACCTGGAAGGGCAAGCTTCAACAAACTTATTGAATGGGGGCGCTTCAACGAACTGGAAGGTGAGCCGAAGCAATGAAAGATGGAGGTTGAGTTAGAGAAGAAGACCTAAAGGCTAAAAGAACGGCGAGCTCCAGTATAAGGAGGAGGTGCAAGCTAAGGGAGAAGGAGGTGTGAGCTATGAGGAGGAGGAGGCATAAGCTATGAGAAAATGTTTTCAGAAACAGAGTTGCGAGGTTGGGAGTGGCGGACTAAATATAAAAGTATCAACATGTTTGAAGAAGATAGTTATTAATACGAATAAATAATGATAGGTCTCATTGACCTATTGTTATTTATGTATTGGCCTGTCATGATATCATTTAAAAAAATAATTTTTACAAATTTTTTTAAGTTAAATACGATAGGTCCATCTCAAACTTGTTGTGAAAATATAATTAATATATTTATTAATACATATAAATTAATAGATAATGAAGTTATTAATAAATATAAATTATTAATATATAAATAATAGAGAGAATCAAATTTAACCCCCTCAAGAAAATTAATCACATATAAGGATTAATGCAGAACGGATTGTTATTAAAATGAAAACATGATTTTTTTTTTGAATGGGACTTATTATTAATCCTTATCTATGATTAATTTTCTTGAGAGGGAGTGGATGTGATTTTTCCTATATAATATTGTTAATGTTAAAAAGTTAAAAACAAAACTTTTGTTTAATAAATTAACAATTAATTTTATTCATATATATATATATAACATTAAAATAATTTTAGTTAATGTATTTAGTTAAATTAATATTTGATTATTTATTAAGTTAAATATAACAAATAACAACTAATATTTTTTAACTGCCGTTATGATTTCAAAATTGCTACCTATAATTATTGATTGTGCCATTGAATGTATTACAACCACAATTATTTCTATAATTATGGTTAAATGTGTGTTATTAAACTTGTCTTGTGTACTAGTGAACACACTTGCACTATCAATCCATTTTCAAAATATCAAGGACCAATAACAATAAAGGCCTAAGTCTACAAAATAGGCTTATATGCAAATGATAATTAAATCTGTGCAAATGACCTTTAATGTTAACAATAAAATATTCATTGACACACTAAAAATAACTAGAGACATTACACCTAATTAAGTGTCTCTAACTTCACTTGCTTCTGTTTATTTTAAACTTGCATTCATCAATTCCACTATTATTCAACATATATCACAATGACAAAGTAACGAGCAAAAAACATGTGAGACAATAAGGATTATCATGCATGATCATGTTCTATCCTTATTACTCTTATTATATCTTATGACTGAATTCATAGACTATCAAATCATATAGGATTAATTTGTATGCCCAAATTAGCCCTACTTTCTAATTATAGAGATGACGTGGCCAAAGTCCCATACTCACTTTCAAACCACGAATTCTCTTATTTGAACTCATGAAGTGTCACTCTGCCCAATTTAGGGAAATACCAGTTTAGAGTAAGGCCTCATAGTGTTGGTGAATACCACATGAATTTCTATGACACCATACTCTCTCAGGTGAATTCCCACTCATCCATAATCATACAAATTCAATTCATATGCAATGACATGTTCTCAATCATAATCATGCTCATTCATTTAAATGATAAAACCCATGCTCATTAAATCATAAATCCATAGCTCCGTTCGGTAAATCACAAGTAGTCACATTTCCATTATCATATCATGCTACACATACTCATGCTATCACGTTCATGTTCATTCTTTTATATACAATGACATTTCATAGCCATAACCATACTCAGCTTGTTTCCTAATCATTCTCATGCTTAAGAAATTATCTAATCACAATTATGTCCAATAATTTACATCAAATCTTAAACAGCCAACACTGAACCCATCCAGTCAAGTTATACATACTCATCCATTACACAACTCAATCATAAACCTTTAAGCCTTGTTCACATATAGATTTTCAATAGCATACGATAAAGCTATTCATTCACATTCTATGATTGATCAAGCTCATAATGGCAAACATAAATATATGTTAAAAGTTAAATTTCGATTACCTCAACTCTTAATTTACCACACCAAAAGTATAATTTGGATTATGAGGAAGCTCACAAATAATCTATGAGCTCCAAGAGTATTTAGTCTACAGTTTAAGATTAACAAACGTCATTAATAATCGATCATCATTAATTAACTCTTAATCACGATTAAGGTTTAAGACTCTAATTAGTGACATTAACAATAAATAATCTCATTTTAATTTCTCTTAGCTTATTTAACCTTTACTAAGCTTAACTAACATTGTTAACCCACTATATTGGCTTAAACTTGATTAGTTAGTACTAGGGTTAATCTTAAACCCATAATTAACAATTCTAGTCATTGCCATTAACAATAACTAATGGTTATTAGAGTAGGTGAAAACTTGTTGAAAATTTGGACAACACTACTACAACCTCAAAAAGTTGAAGAAATTGCGTAGAAGAGGGAGGAGAAGAGAAAAGAGGACTTACCTAAGGTATAGATAGCTTGCAAACACCTTTAAACGCCCCCAATATGCAAACCCTAGTAAAGTCACATGTCCTTCCTCAGTTTCTCTTTCAAACTCTCTTGTGTTCTTGTTGTTTAGTTCGCATTTTATGAATTTAAAATTTTATCTTGTCTACCATGATAGATGACCAAAAATGAAAACCATCACTTAATCCCATCAAATTGGGCACAAAGTGGCCCAATTTCATCTTATGTCCAATTTTAACCATCATGTAAAGTCCAATAGATTCAATAGTCATCATATTACTCTAATTAATTTTATTAGGATCTAGATTAGTTATCCGAACACTTTTATTAGTTTTAATTAATCATATTATAAATTTGGGATGTTACACATAATGCGGTAAACCAAAATTCAAGTCTTTACTGAAAAAAGTGCCTACATTTAATATCCAAGAATCAGAGATATTCATCTTAAGAGCAATCTGGCTTGTTTGATTACCGATTTTCAAATCAGTTTTTTTAAAAAAACATACAAACTTGTTTAAAAATATGTTTTTTGTTATATGTTCTGAAAAACAAGAAGTAAAAAGTTATTCTGAAAAACTTAAAAAATTAGTTTCGCAGTTAGAGAAAAAGCATAAAACATCGTCTCTTCATTAGTGACAACTGTGCTAAATAATTCTTTCCGCACTTTAAATATGTTTTTCACAATAATGATGCAAATAATTTTTTAAAATTTTTTGTTTCCGAAACTTGTCCTATCAATATACTTATAGAATTATTTTAGGAACATAAAAATAAAAAACAGAATCTAACTTACTCATATTCAAAGGTTAAAAAACCAGAAAATTTATTAAAATAAATATCTAGATTATTTATATTTTAGAAATACACATGAAAAATATTCTTTATTGTTCACAAGTTTATCAGCATAGATATGCAGCTTGAGATTTGTTTTCACTTTAGTAATAGAAATAAGTGTGGCTGAAGAAAGAATATTCCAAAAAATACAAAGAATAAAGGAAGAGACAAGAAATAATATAAATTATGCCTGCTTTATTCTTTCGTTATATGAAGGTTCATATATGACAAAATGAGATATTTTAATAAATAACAAATCAATATAAATAAATTAGGAAATCACAATAAAGTAAAAATTATAAATCAATTATAACCTAATCATATAGATGAGATTATCATGCTTATACGTGAGTAATTATATATATATATATATATATATAAAAGCAGGCTTCATCCTTGGATATGATAATATAAAAGGAAAATAAGGGGAGAATTAAGTAGCAGCAATCCCCAACTTTATTTAAGGATCATTCAAGCAGGGGAGACTTATCTGTAAGCATTTAGCAAAAGACAAATTACCACTGGCTGGTGCTATACTCATGCTAATTGCTATTGATAATAGGAGCAGCATGTTATCTCGTGGCACGCTTGAACACTTGATAGTGAATGATATCGCATCCCTAGAAAACATACAAACAAAAAGCACAAGCTTCAATCTCAAAATCATTCTTCCTTACTGACATGATATTAAGAACAGATGCTACTGATCCATGTGATGCAGTCAACTAAAGACGGTTGGCGGTTACCCAGTTGACCGCAAGAAGACGTGTTTCGTTGAAATTAATGTTCAGTGGTTAGCAGACAACCTACAACGAGAATTTCCTAATTATTAAAATCCTTTATTCCATTGATTTCCGCCCTCGGAATTTTTTCTTCAACCGAGTTTCTTGAGCCGGAAAGCTCACGTGGCATTTTACAATCCACTAGTGCTATGCAAATGGAAAATGCTTGCAGAACTGTGAATGAGGAGTCATATGCAACCGAGAAAATTCCATGCTTGAAGGGGCCAAATCTGAAAGCAGGTCGGTGTTCCCGCCCATTCCCCTGCGATTTGCATTCAAAGTTAAAAGAACATCACATAATAGTTATCATTTATCAACGCAATATGAAGGACAACTAAATCAACAAATTAATTTAGTCCGGTGCTAACACTACCTGGAGGAAAAGCTCAAAATGATCTTCACAAGAAGCTTTGGATGAACATGATTTTTTACCGGCTGGATTTTCATTTGCAAGAATTTTAAGTTCGCAACCCATATCCCAACCACCACAGTCACATGATCCGCCTGATTTCCAGCGTTCAATCAGTGATGAAGGTCCACCTTTACTTGGATGACTATGAATCCCACTTGGAAGTACAACTGTTGCACGGACAAGCTCTTGACGATTATCATTGGAACAGCTATGGTACCAATGATCAGTGGAACCCATTGTTTTGGGTATTTTAAGAATAATAGCAGCAAGCTCATCATCTGGCTGATAATCAGGGGCCTGATCACCCCCATGCCTTAGCTTCATAGAATACAAAATGAACTCTTTCACGGTGATATAGTCCACAGAGTTCTGGCGAATGTGAGGACTAGAAACCTTCATTTGGGCTACAACATGGTGAATGTATTCAGGACCTATGCATTTGCCAGCTTGTTTTATCCAATTTCCAGCCTTCTTATCAACATCTCTAAAGGTGAAAAAGGTATAGATATAGCTGCAGCCATCTTTTTCTATGGTACTCAACTTCTTTACCGTGGCAGCAAGAATACTGCTGTTTTTGTCAACTGCAAATGTAAACATGGGCAATCCATTCTTCCAGGCAATTCTCAGAAGAGCTTGAACTGTTGATGACACATGCTTCTTATTCTTTGATGAACCATCTTTATCAATTGTACTATAACCAAACCTGTGGTCCTTTATCAACTCAGTGGAAGATTTATTTGCTGACATACAACCCTTACTTATTAACAATGGATCTTGCTGAGATGACTCTGCAGAGTGATGGCAGTTCACTGTCTTCGGTTTCAGTAGCGGATCCAGTAACCTCCTCAGAGGGCTTGACCTACTCCTACCAGCTTCACCTGCTTTACCGTTGCCTGAAATGTCTGAACTTGAACAGCCTCTCATATTTCCTGAACTAGACTTGGAAGTTCCTATTGAGCTCCTATGTTGCAGAAGTGCATCCTCCTTGCAGCCAGATCCTTTGCTTGCAAAATTAGCGCTGAAGCTAAATCGTCGAAAAGGTGAAGAGCTTCTTGACTTTTCAGCTGTTACTTTCTGGGTTTGGGTTAGTTCCTGGAAAGGCTCTTTTACAGACAACACTGTAGCTATTGGCTGTTTTTTTTCATCTTGTCTAGATCTGGATGGTCTTATTCTCATTTTAGCTGATAGGGTTGCAGAGAAAGTAGCAGTGTCAACTTTGATTCTTTCTGGGCCTAAGGAACTGCACCCATTTGCCTGAGAAGGGGAACAATTAACGTCACGTGGCAGTGCACAGGAGTTTGATTTTTTATCATTAACATCCTCAAGGAAAAGTTCCTTGGGATTTTCTCTGAAGCTTGTTCGACTAGGAATTTGTGACTTTTGACATTGGGATGTTGGCAGATCAGAAATTCCAGAATGACCATTTAGGTAGATATCCCTGGACAGACAAAAAACAGGTGGTTTGTTTTTCTTGAGTACATCTTTCTCAACGGTAACCATATTTGGTTGCTGGAAAATCCCAACTCTTTTTTCCAATTTATCACCTTGAGTGCTCATTTCTAGTTTAATGTGTGATGCTGCTTCATACATTTGGTCACTTGATAGAGCTCCTCTTTCCATATCAATTTTGGGATCCAAATCGTTCATGTTGCATGCTTTCAGTGTATCAACAGGGAGGTTTTGGGAAAAATGGTCATTTGCGCTGACAAATTGGCTGTGTGTGTTATTGTTGCTACCGCTAAAATTTTGACAATTTTCTAAAATTTTCCCCAAGGATTTGGCATCATGGGAGTAGCCTTGCATTGCAGATGCCATAAAGTGAGATACCAGTGGTGGATGGCACATACTTTGACAAGGAGACAAGCTACGACCCTGGCTAGAATAACCTGTTGATTTGTCCACTGAAACAGATACGGATGTATTACTAGTTGATATTGAACTCCTGCTACTTATATGGGGAATATGTTTATGACTGCACTTCCATTGCTCCAGGTAGGCCCAATCAAGGACACCCACGTTTAAGGCTTTCTCATGAATACTTCCTCCCTTCTCCAAATAACCTGGAAGATCTGACATGTACCTAACAAGCTCATCTTCCGTACATTCCCTTCTGCAATTCCCTTGCTTTTCATGATTCTTATAAGATTTTAAATGGCTGCCTTCCACACTTCTGGTAATTTCGTGATGAAGATCTGCATCTGGCAAAGCAGTGGTATCAAGTTGTAACCTGTCATAATTCTTTCCACTCATGCTGGTAATTGATTTCCTGAATTTTGATTGAGATCATCAACTAATTGATAGGCCACATAGGTTTGTTGGGCTCTAGCTCCGTAACTTTGGGATGAATTTGCAAGAATGAAAACCCAACAGCTTGCTTTTCAGCTGCAAATTGGAAACAATAAAACTCCCAAATGCAAAGGTATTAAGCTAATTGAATAATTGCTTTTCTAAAAAGAACAAGAATCACATTAAGAACTGTTTCAAAGATATTACAAAAAATAAGGTAAAGGTTATGGATGAAATATTGATAAAACGTTATTTAAACAGTAATCTGCGCTTCTTGTTTGAATTGATTCAAATCTGATAATATGTGAATGAGGTAACTTGGCGTTGACCAATCTCAGTAAGACAAGAACCAGCTGAGCCGAACACCATCTTGAACAAAAGCAGTATTAAAGTCAGAATAAATGCAGACCGCAAAGCATGACAAAAATGGTTAGCAATGAGAGTTGAAACCAAGTGCAAGGAGACGGAGCAGTATGGAGAGAATGGACAAAGGTGAAGTCAGATAACAGAAGTGATAGTGGTCCATGGAGACCTATTTCGAAAATCTAACAGATAGGACTAACGTCTAGTCTTGATCGGAACCCAAGCCTTTCTTTCTCCACAAATAGTGGAGGAGAGAAAGATCATATGCTATTTAGAAGCACTCATTATACTCGAACTTCAAAATACTGAACAGTAGGGACACGTTCGCCCTCGAGCTCGGAAACGATCGATCAAATTTCACACCATTTCGCTTTCTTTTTCTCCTATCTCTCTCGACTAACAACATGAACCCGAGCAGGAAAAAGCATTTAAAAAAGATAAAAAGCTTGAACCACAAAGAAAGAATGGGGTAAAATAGATTAGCACTCGTGATTGTTAGAGACACGGGAACACGAAGGTGAAATTACAGTATTACAGTGCTAAAGCTTAGGTGCCAAAGGCAACATTCTAGTGAAATAATATAAAATGAAGCAGAAAAACACAATTAAAATGGGACATGAGGCTCAAGCTGCATACCAGACATTCAGGGGGGAATGCAGAAGCGGAGGCTCGTCTAGCCTGAAGACGAAGGAAAGAGTGTCGGTGCACGCCCAATAGCGTTGCAAAACATCGCGGGAACAAAGATCCAGAAGGCTAAGAAGATGTCTGAATTTTCTTCCTCGAACTCTAAAGCCAGACAGAAGAACGGCAGAAAAATGACACGGAGCTGCCGACGTGTTCCGATCAGAGACAGTGAGAAAACTGGTGTATTTTAATTTCTGTGCTTCGTATGAGTATGTGTGAATGTGATACTAGCAGTCAACGAAGTGAAAGGATGAAATTGGAGCAGCCCATGGCTTCCCTCACTGCCTCTGATCTGATTCTCACTTGATACTTTCTTACGTGGCAGACCTATCACAGAATCGCAAGTTAGTGGGCTATAATGGGGCCCACTTAGCTCTCCATACAGATAAACTAAATTACACATTCTCTCCTCATCTCGAGTTCACGACCTGAAAAAAAAATGTGTCTGAATTTTATGAACGCTTCTTTTGTTTTCAAGTCTTGTCCTAATTTTTTCAATCCCAAGTCTCGTGCTGAATACTTTTCCAAAAAAGGGCCTGTCCAAAATAAAATAAAGGTTGAAAGTTTTACATGTACAAAAGGAATTCTGAAATATAGATCAAAATTGATAATAAATATCTTCAATGAACTGAATGAGTATTATTTTTATAATATTTTAGTCTTATACGGTTTTTGAAATGTTTTCATGTATGTTAATCATGAAAAATAAAAAAAATATCATATACAAATATAATTAAAATTCACCTAAAATCACAATAAAATGACAACAAATTTCATCCCACTGCATGAACTTAGCTATATGCATTATATGATATTATTGTGCTTTATCATTTATTAAATTTTTAAAAATATTATTAATTAAGAGGTCTTGATTAACAATTTTTAAAAATATTTTCTTTGACCTCCCTCTACACTTTTTGACAGAATTTAAAGTTATCCATTCCATTTTTCTCATAGATTATTAATAACATGGCTTATTTTGATAATCTATATTGTATAGGAAATGTGTTTAGTGTTTTAAGAAAAAGAAATAGTTTATTCTTTTGAAACTTGAAACATAAAAGGGGCCAGGAGGATGAATGGAATCTAGTTTTGAGCTGTCTCAACTCAATTATGAAGATCAGCATTGTTTTTTTTTCCCCTTATCCCTTCCTGTTCCTGTGTTTGATTATGCCTCTTTTGACGTTTGCTTTGGCCATGTTGTCTCTTTTCTGTGAACAATCTTATCTAACAGTCTCGGATATTTACGGGTAGAATAAAACTAAAGGTGTTAGGTTACAAAAATAAAATATCGTGCGCCCAAACTAATGAGTATTGAGTACAGTAGAAGGTATTGAGTAATTGAGAATTAAATTCCTATTTTGTTAAGAATAAGAAGTAACTGTTATGAAAAGGAGAAGAAAATAAATGGAGAAAGAGTAACAAAAAAAAACATTATATCTTTACTCCATCTCAAAACTTGAATTTATAAATTTTTTTTATTTTACATTAATTATTAAGTTAAATTTTATCCGGCATGGAATGGAATCACATTTGAATAATCTAATATGCTTAAACGTAATTGTCTCTGTTATAAAGACAGGGTAACAAAAAAAAAAAATCATGAGCATATGGCAGGTAGCTTTTTGTAAGCAGAAAAGGGGAGAAATCAAAGGAGGCCGCGCTTTGGGGCTAAAGTGGCTGGCTTTTTCTGAGCTGCGCACGAAACAAAAAGCAAGGAGGATACGGATAAAAGAAAAGGAGTGGAGGTTAGAGCGATGGGGACTGTGCCATTATTCATACGATGATGCGGAGATAAGGGGGAAAAGCCTGACGTCGTTATTTACTATCAGCCTCGTCTAATGCTAATGGTGGATGCAAAACAGGAAAAGCAATTTTATTGGAAGAGCATAAGCAGAAAGCAAAGTTGAAAGGGGGACGTTATGATTTGAATACATCCTAAAATCAACAACACATGGAGTGGAGGCCGAGAGAACGTCCGAAGTCTAATGATGAACAGCATTAAATTTCTCCCAGAAAGCGGGTTTTGCATCAACTTTAATAAAAAATAAGCCGTGCCAAGAAACTCATAATCATTACCACCCAACCTCACCACATTACCACTGTTATTCACCAACATCACCTCTGGCTCAGGCCTCAGGGTACGTCACATGAAATCTAGAATAATGGCATAGCGGCGTGTTGAAATTGGGCTTTCATTGGGCCCGAAGAAGGGCCTAGAAGTTAAAGCAGAAGATATCAAAATTTAGGAAAAGAAAACAAAACCTTCGAGTCAACTTTTGCTTATTAAAATAAAATAAAAAATAATATAAATTAAAAATAAGATGATTAAAAAAAATATATGAACACATTCATTTGAGTAATTTAATTTATGATGTTGAGAATCACAATTTATAAAAAATTTTAAAAGATGTAATGATTCTCATATTTTTTAATATATATTAATGAGTTATTTATTTTATTTTACTTTAATTTTTTCAATCAATTTTATTTTATTTTAATAAACAAAACAAGCAAGTACCACCTGCCGAGCTCGCGAGGCAAGACAAACAAGGTAGGAAAGTGACGATCAATCCCAAGCCCAGTTCATCGCGGTGGGGTCACATGGACAGGCTCCTTGGTGATATCGCCTTTCCCCCTTCTCTTGGGCCGTATCCAGTAGTGTTGGCCATGATTCTGATTTGGGCTTTGGGTAGCGGGAGAGCTCGGCAGCTGGCGCTTCCTGGGTTCGCCGACGAGGATGTACTGGTGGAGCTTCAGGGAGACCAAATGCTGCAGGTGAGGTTGGAGAGCGGCAATTTCATGAGCAGGTTCAGGGTCCCTGAGGATGCAGACCTCCAACATTTGAAGGCCTCCGTGAACCACGGGGTTCTGCTCGTCACCGTTCCCAAACGTCAATCCGCTCTCCCTAACGTCAGGGTTCTTGAAATTGAAGGCGGTGACTGACTCCATCATATGTTATCTCCTGCCCTGTTCCTCTTCTCTCGTGGGTTTACTGTCATGCTTGTTATTATTTATTAAATCATATGTATTCAGTATCCCCCTTGTTTACGACTGTCCCCATCTTCCGTTGAATAATTAACAACTCTAATATTCTTTGCTCCATGGATGCCAATATACTCCGCGCTAATGCCTGAAGGTGAACGCAGGCTTACAGTTAGACTATGCCGGTCTTATCTTGTTCTATGTGCCTGCCAAATTGCCTTTTCAGATAATAAAATCTTTCTCGTTTTACTGTGCGCCGATAAATTCCGAAGAAAATCTATTGTTAAGGTGGAACCAGGACACCACCGATGCCTCGATTCTTCTCGATTAATTGATAACGAGAGTCGAGTGAGAAGATAGAGATTTCAACCCCTCTCCCACTTTCCAGTTTCCCCTTATTTTTTTATTTCTGCCAGCATATGGATCCTGCTTGTCTCTTTCCGTTCACTCCTTCCATTAAATCAGTGAACTACAAAGTCAAACTGAGTCCCACTCCAAAGTGGCTTTGTGCTTTTTGAGCCTCTCACGCTAAAAATAAAAATAATCAAAATATTGCACATGAAAATTATTTATCAAATTGACATCCAACCGTGTCCTTAGATCAATCCAGACAAACAGACGCTATGGCTGTGCAAAAAAATTTTAATCTAGTTCAATCCACTTGTATAAATTTATTTAATATAATTATAATTAATTTATTAATTATTATTATAATAAGTTAAATTATGATAAGGCAAAATTAATTTTTTAATCTTGATAGTTTTAATTTAGTTGTAATTCAATCCCTAAACTCTGACTCGTTATAATTCAATTTTTAAAGTTTGGACTTGACTATAAATTAATTTCTGAACTTTGCCTCTTGCAATTTAGTACTCAAAGTTTTAATTTTTTAAATATTAATTCCTGTATTTTAAAAAATAAAATTAAAAAAATTAAAAATATTTTAAAATTTATTACTAATATTTTAAGTTATTAAACCCTTTTAATCTTTATAGATATTATAAATATTTAAAAGTTTAAAATATTTTTAATTTTTATAATTAAAATTTTTAAAATATAGGGATCAATATTTAAAATTTGACTAAATTATAAAAGGTAAAGTTTAAGGACTGATTTATAACTGAGTTAAAATTTTAAGAATTGAGTTATAACGAGTCAAAAGTGAAGAATTGAGTTATAACTGAATTAAAACTATAAAAATCAAATGATTAATTTTTTTATAATAATAATTAGTATTTTCTTGCGTTTTATACTTATGAAGTTTTGAATATTAATTAAAATTTTAGTATTAACTAACCTTAGTCTTCTCTTTTTATTAGTTAAATCTGTTGTTGACTTAATATAATGAATTTTACACATGTTAAAAATTGTTTAATATTATTAAAGGTTATTTAATTTAAATCATTTGTGTTGTAATTAAAATATTTTTTATTATTATTGTTGGAGATTGTTGTGGATTTATTATTGTTATTATTGTGATAAATTTTATATAACTATAAATAATTTTATTAATGTAAGAGTTTATTATGTTGAAATAAATCACTACCTCTCATAGATAAAAAGAAAAAAAATAAAATAAAGTGAGATACTGAATAAGATCAGGATCAATTTTTTAGTCCTATTAAATCAATCCAATTCTGTTCGATTTCGAGTTATATTAGGATCAAAATAAATTACAACTTATTTAACTCAATTTTTTTTTATAAAAATGATTAAATTTTAGGTCAAGTTGAAGTCTTATCAAATCAATCCTCTATATAGCCACAAGGGAGGTGATCAATTAGAAATTAGGCATACGGGGAAAAAACAAATGCTAAATATTTTCCCTGTATTTATCTAAATGCTCATTAAAATTATGATCATTATTTTTTTTTTATTTCAGTAAGTACTATACGATCACAGGTTTCACGATTGAAATAAAATTGAAGGTTACGAGGATTTTGTACAGAAGTAACTCAACTTGAAATTCGAACTATATTTTTTTTTTGGGCATCAATAGAAAATTGTGGAATGTTAGGTGATGATGTATAATGTCAATATTATTAATTAGTATGCATAAACGAGTAGTTTCGAAAAGTTCATGAGCACCTTGCGAAGTTGAATTGATTTTGAAGCCGAGTCTAAAGCGCAAACCAACAAGGGTTGCAGGCTTGCAGGTCATAAGTCAGATCACAATTTTATTTTTTTTTTCGGGGAAAAAGGGATGTTTCTCGGCGGCGCAGGTCCGAGCTCTGAATAAAACTCTAGTCCCTTCTCCACAAAGCTAATTCCGAGGTCCGAAGCGTGGAAATCGTCCTGTATAGAGAGGGCAATGATGACGAGTGACAAGAAAATAGGGGCGGCCATGGATTTCTCAAAAGGAAGCAAGTTGGCTCTGAAATGGGGCATCGACAATCTGCTTGACAAGGGCGATTCCCTATTCGTCATCTACGTCAGGCCTTCCCAGGGCGATGAATCCCGAAATCTTCTCTGGCCGCCACTGGTTCACGTAAGTCCTCTGCTTTTCTCACTTACTCAATTGAATCTCTAAGATCGTCATAACGACTCTTATAATAGCGGGGAGGGGGGGATTTTGGGTTTCAGCGCTGACGCCGCTGTCAGAATTTCGTGATAAGGAGGTGATGAGCAAGTATGAAGTGGAGACCAATGCTGAGGTGTTGTATCTGCTGGGCACTGCTTGCAGACAGAAGAAGGTTTTCTCCCTCCCTCTTTTTTTGGGGGATTGAGAATTTGATTCAAAGAGGTTGATCGAATTTGGATGCAGGTGACGGTGGTGGCAAAGCTATACTGGGGGATGCAAGAGAGAAAATCTGCGAGTCCGTCGGGGATTTGAAGCTGGACGCCTTGGTCATGGGTAGCAGAGGCCTGGGCCTCATTCAGAGGTTCTGTAGTGTTTTTTGGCCATTCCATCTGGGATATGTTAATCTTCATTCTCTTGTTTCTTTGGCTGTTTGGCACGATTAAATTACATGTATTGAATTAGAGACATCACTGTATGAGATTAGATAATTACTTTCTGGAGGCAAATAAATGTATTTATTGGTTATCTCATCAAGTTATAAATACCGATAATTTATATATTTATATCTTTGATATCTTGCTGTGTGGTTGTTATAATATCTTGTATATTAACATGACTTAATCTTGTTAATTAATATAGTTTACCTAAAAAAAAATTACATGTATTGACGATGCTGTCAAACAGTCACATTGAATTGTTCATGATAAAATAACAACTTTTTAATTCATTCATTTTATTAATCGAATTGGACTAAATATTCGGTTTTGCTGGGGAGCGTGACCAGCGATGTTACCACAAATGCCGCTTGCTCGGTGACAATTGTCAGACTCTGGCCCTTCTGGTTTCTGAATTTGGATTCCGCAGATGGAAATGCAGCCGTCATCTAAGGGTGTTTAGCCTAGACTCGTCTCGATTGATCCGGTATCGTCCCGATTATATCGGGACGGGTCTTGTCCCGGCCCAAAAATAATCGGGACGAGACTTTATGAGACGGGACAGGAAGGGGTTCGGGACGGGATGGGACACGGGATTACCATCAGGACGTCCCGTACCGAATATTATATATATTATTTTTTATTTTAAATATATTAATTATATTAATATAATTTATACTTATATTAATTATATCAATTATATTTTAATACTTGCAATTTTTATTTAAAACTAAAGTTTTTTTATATTGATAATTTTAATGGCATGGAGTAAATATGGCGATATCTTTCTTTATAATATATTAATTATATTAATATAATTTATTCTTATATCTATCTATTTAATAACCTTTATTTATAACATATTTCTTGCTTATTTTTAGAAGAGTAATTAGCTTAGTACATCTTCACTAAAGTAGAATAATAATGATGTGATGTTGTGTTTAACTTGCCTGTTGTTGTTAATCTTATAGCATAAAGATCACTTGTATTTGTTATTATAATATGTAGTTATGATTAATATAATTCAATAATTAATTTTAAATTATTGTTATTTATGTGCTTGTGTTGTTTTGATTTTAAACTTAAAATAAATTATATGATTTAAAATTTTAATGAACGTTATTATCCAAATCTTTTTTCGATATTATTCTATTTATCGGGACGGCAGGACGTCCCGATCTTGTCCCTGATCCCGTCCCGACTCTTAACAGGACGGGACGACTATCGGGACGGGACGGGACACGAGACCAAAATTCAATCCTGATTTTTTTCGAGACGGGACACGGGACGGGGGTGTCCGGTCCGTCCCGTCCCGTGAACACCCCTACCGTCATCCATAATGCTCTCTGCTTCGTTTTTGCCTAGGTTATCCATATCGTGCTTCATAACAGACAATGACTCTCTCTCTCTCTCTCTCTCTCTCTATTTATATACATGTATGTGTGTGAACATAAGGGATGCATTAAGGGTGTGCTGAAGCATCATGGTCTATTTTATACAGCGTCAAGGGTTTTTAAGTGTTTTGCTCGTCCAAAAGTCAGCTTATAATGTAAACTTGATGCTGGATCTGTTGCTGTGAGTGATATATTCTTCATATGGTCGTGTTTAGTTCATTTTCCAGCATCTTTAGAAGCTCAAAATTCCTCAATTGCCTTTCCTTTTCCAAATCATCCGTGGAGTTACAGATGTCAAGGCCTTGCAAAATAGACAAGAGCTTCCGTATAAGTTCGACTCCATTAGTTCTTGAACAGAGGGCCTCAATTACAATATTCGCGCCAATAGCTCAGGCCGCCACAACGCGCCGAGGCAATAAGTCGAGAGAATCCAATCCACCATCGGCTCCCGGTTAAGTTTCAAATTTCAGAGCTGGTTCAGTTTTGCAGGGGGGCCTGCCCACGTATTCATCCCACAATAATCTCACGAGATGATTACGCTCCGAAGTCGGACGTGTAGCGACTTGAGTTGTTGTATAGGCGGCGAGTATTCCTGACTGTCGCAGGCTCGATCCCCAACAACAGCTTTTTCTTAATCTCACAATTCTATTCTACTTCGATCTCTAGTGACAGTGCGGCGCCCGCACCAACACCCAATAAATATTCAGATCCAGAGAGGGGCGACATCTGAACTGAGAACATAGGTCGTTGTCATCAAATGACTTACAATTACAGGAACAAATTCCGTAATAACTACATATTCAGATCTTCTCAAAATCATCCAGTTAGGTCCTTCAGATTAAAAAATCAGTCTCATCGCTCGCACTTTTGATGAGATCAGTATCTCCCTAACTTGTCAACAAGCTAGCTGCAGATAAAAGGGAGACATAGCAACAGACCACTACAGCAGGCAAAGTCTGAGGCGACTAAATGTCATGTGTTACTGCTAATGTTCATTGTATTACCGAATAAAAGCTCGATGACACAGAATTGCAACTTCATTGCATGCACGATTATAGTTTCATTGCATACAAAAACCAAAAATTGATAACTGTTCAGTTTCCTAAAATATGTTTCATCTTAACAACGATATATTGATGCCACAGCAAGACTTAAAGAAATGGAAATCGCAGCTAAGCTATTACTGACGTCGCCATTGCAACCTTTCTTGAGCACCTGACCCTTTCATGCATCTCATCGGCTTCCCAGAGCTCCGGAAACGCCTCCCTAATATTATGGATGCTCTCTAATGCATGATCCACTCCTGTAGTCCTAAGGGAAGCACCCACCTGCACCATGATTTCAAATTGTGTGGCTGAGATGCATACTGATGTTCATAGCAGGTGTGCGTCAAATTCCTAATTCAACTACACCTTCACATCTCATCAAAAATGTATTTCAAATTCCTCGGTTAAGAACATCTGTTAAGAATGTCGCTACAACTACTAACAGGTAATTCGTGAAATTATCAGGCAACAATTAAAGAAGAGTACTAACCAAGACTGTGTGGAGGCCCAAGCGTTTCGCTGTCTGTAAATTGCGGACACTGTCATCAAAGAACAACTGAAAGCAGCAAGGAAAAAAAAAATTAATGATGTCATTTCTCACGGGAAGCATCATGATGTGAGGCAATGGCCAATACTAGGATCAAGAGAAACACTGAACAGTATATAAAACAGGATCCAGATCCTCAAGACAACGGTTAGTCAGGAAGAGCGTAGAAAATATATGACCAAAATGTTCAAAGAAAGAATCATGACTTACTGTTCTCTGAGGGTTGATATCGGCCATCTCAAAAACCCTTTCAAATGCACCTTCCAATGGTTTACAAACAACAGGGGTCTTTGGAAGCACCATATCAGAATGAGGCTGGCGCATGTACTGGTAAAAATCAAATGTTGCAGATTTGTTGCCATCTAAATCAGTGTGAGGATGGCCGCAGTTGGAGGGATTCAGTGTCTCAAAGCTTATAACTCTTTCAAAGCAGTCCTCCAATCCAAGCCTATGGAGCACTCTAACCGCATGTCCTTTGTCTGAGTTAGTGAAAATCTGAAAGGGAGAACAAAATTGAAAAATGCATAGATATATCATAATAATGCAAAGACAGACTTCCATATTCAATTTTCTGCTAAAGGGGAGGGAGGAGAAAAGGAGTGGCATTGCAGTGCGCCTAATTTAACAAAGAACAAGTGAACTAACAATTTTCCGAAGTGGCAGGCTTAGCAATATGCCCCTGAGGACAGGGTCAGGTTTCAGCGTATCATACGGCAATCTCCCATGAACAGAACTGTTCAACGAGAATAATATTAGAAGCCCATTTCCATTTCACATGGTTTTTCAACTTCACAAAATAAAAAGGTCAAACCAAACTAAATAAATATAACAATAAAATTACCTATGAAAATCATCATAGTCGAAGTCATACCCGATAGCCTGCGAGAGGAAGAGGAAAGATGATTGATTAGTTCATACTTTGCAGTCTACAGAGAAATAAAATACTTTCATGCAAATAACTGATTAGTTACATACCCTGAGACCAGCCATAGTTGTCCCATAAGTTTTATACAATGAAACGTTCAAATCAGGAACTCTAGTCTCCTCAATTCCAAGCTTTTCAAGCATGTACTCTGTGCAATACATCCAATGAAAATTCATGATTCCATACCCAAGCCTAAAAGGTCCACGCATGCACATTCTCACATATTTAAGGTCTCAAAGTGACATGTTCATACTTTGAATATTTTTTCTCACGTGCACCGCCAAGCCCGAGCTCAGAGGGTAAAGGGTGTCATCAAGATCTGAAAGTAACAAAAACAAGTTATAAATAACTTGGCCAGGACAATGAAGACCGCAAATGATAACGATTCACAAGCCAGTGAGAAGTCTCACCAAATAAAAGACAATCATATTTCACGTTTGAAACTTCCTGGTACTGATTCCCGTTTTCCATTTCAACTTTCTCGGAAGGCTACAAATTGGGGAGAGGGAAACAAATTTATCAGAACATTACGTAAGAAGAAACAACAACCGCCCAGGTTCTAACAATAATGCGTAAAATTGTCATGAACCGAATCATTTGCATTAAATTCAACTGATATGAAATCAATGATCAAAATGCACATACCGAAAGTGCGGATAAATATCGAATAATTGTGGAGGGTTGTCTAAAAGAGGCCATTTTAGTTCGAATCCAAAAGAGCATTTATAATATATTAAAATTCAAGCCGAAACTAAAATGATCAACAGCAGTCCAACATCAATGCATCAACAAAATGCCCGAGGGAAAATTAGAACATATAAACACACAAAAAAAGGTGACCCCCAGAAAAATAGAAAAAAAGATCTCGAAATGTGATCAACTAAACATCCGCTGGCAAAGTGACTGATTTTTCAAAAACCATTGTAAAGTTTTTTTTTTTTTTTTTCATGGGCCAGATTGTAAAGGAGATAGATCCAACGCCCAAAATCGCTAATCGAAACCGCAGTTGTTAAGACTTGAAATTGAACGGGAATATACGCGCAAGGCAATGGAGTAATGAAGGGAAAAGGAAAGAAACACAAACCCAGCGCGCTAAGGTAGAAATAAAGCAGATCAAGCGAGATGGCAGATGATGCATAAAAAAACAAATAGAAACAAGTTTACCGGGATTAGAAGAGGGAATCAAACGCTGAAACTACGAGTAGGCTGATAAAGAAGGAGAGGGAGAAAATGGGCACGTGAATCAGAAATGTCAAGGGTTAGGAGTAGTTTAAACTTTAAACTCCAAATAGAAAGGACGTCAACGGCTTGAAATTGAAGGCACCGCGTCGTCAGAGAGAGAGGGAGAGGGAGAGGGAGAATTAGAGAAACGACGTTAACGGGACCGAAATCTAGAAGCAAACTCAAAAAAAAAAAAAAAACCACACGCGCGCGCGCGGTATGTACTCACAAGAAACTAGTGCTACAGAACTCAGATTGGGAGTGCTTTTTCTATTTTGTCTTCAACGATCTCGCCCAATCATCGCCATCTTTTCAAACATGCTGCTTTCCCTTTCCTTTGCGTCTCATTTGACCGCTAAATAGAAATAAAGAATTGAAGAATAATCTGAATTTCCGGCCAAAACGACAAGAGAAGATAATAACATATACTCACAAGATTTAAATATGTGAGAAAATAATCAAAAAAATTATGTATGATACTTATATGGATATATTTGTAAAAGTTGTGTGAATTCAAAATTTATAATATTTATAAGCCATTTTAAGCGTGGAATCAAAAAGTTTATTAACAAAGGGTAATCCTGATAAAAAGGATTATGATACCCAATCAGAAAAATAATAACACATTCATTACTTGCCATCTCATGTTTAACTTATTTGTATGTATATTAAAATTAATTACAATCAAAATCAAACACCATATTATAACTAGTGCTATATGTGGGCCAGCATCACCAGAGGCAGTACTATCTCATAGGTGAAGGGGGCCTAGCCCCCCTAATTTTTTCTTTTTTACATGTATAGGTATGGACATGTTCTTCTATAATTGCTAATCCCCTAAATTTTTTTTATTGTATGCATTTAGTCTTGTAACAAAATTTAATCCAACCAATTTAAATATATGGTCAAAGGGTGATTTGTTTTGTTGATTTATTGAAATCGTCCAGTCCAAAAAAAAATCAACCTAACTTAAAAGTAAATAAAACTTAAAATGAAGTTGAAATATTTAATTTGGGAATGTGAATGAGTTGTGACTATCCTGATTCCCACCTCTGCAAGCAAAGCTTTGTCTCCGTGCAAGAACAAGATTAAGGCTTCAAACTCAATCCGAATGATAGTGACTCTCCCCATGCAAAGAATAAGCACATCAAAGCCGCCATTTGGTGAGTGGCATATTTTACTTAGTATATGCTTATTAAAATTGTATAGTTTTGTCAATTCGTTTAACAAAATTTTAATCCTTTCTCAAGATATGTTCATTGTTAGATCTGAATCATCAACAAATACTCTGGAGTAGGCCATGGCAGAATTGATGAAGAACCCAATTACCCAAAGGTGATCATTAACTTTCAATGACTTCATCTGCTCTTGCGCATCCATGTTTTTTTGTAAATCTTATTTCCTAAACCGATTAAACCTTGTTCAATACCCCAAACACCTAAATTCCATTATTTCTATATCTATCTTGCACTGATCGGTCCGAACAAGATTGGTGCTCAAAATAGACAACTGTACAAAATATTTCCTATCTGCTTTTCTTTAAGTTAACTGTTATGTTATTTTTTTAATAAGGATTTGGCCCCACCTAAAATTAGAAGCTGGTTCTACCGCTGAGCATCACCTCAGCACGGTGCCTTGACCTAATGTACAATTCAGGCTAGCCCAAACCCCTACTATTGGCCTAAGTTTAGCCTACACAAAAAATATTTTTTAAGAAATAACCCTTTGAAAAAATATAAAAAATTATCTTTAAAGAATATAATTATTACTCTCTCCATTCAAAAATGTTATTCGAATTAGGTTTAAAATACCCTACTTTATATAAAAAGCTCATATAATTAAGTTCGACACTGACACCTAATATTTTTTTTCTCTATTTTTTTAAACTAATTTTAACTTAAGTAACTCTATTAAGCATAAATATTATTTTGATTTTAAAAAAATAAAATAAAATTAATAATTTATCAATTTTATACTTAAGTAACTTTGTTATTGTTTTATTGTATTTTATGTAACTTATACATGAATATTTTCTTTACTTATAAATTAATATCTTATTTGTTTAAATATTGCTCTTATCATGATCATATAAATATTTTATATATTTTAATTATGATAAAATTAATATTATTAATTCAATCATAGTTAGATTACTAACTTAAAACCATTGCCTTGACTAGTTCAAAGTTTTCAATAACTTTTAGGTAAACTATACTTTTCATTTTTAAGAATATAAAAAAAAACAATCATCATTATATTATACAAAATAAAATCATTTAATTATGAGTAAAATATTATTTTTTTTGAAATTTTTTTCTTTAACTTTTTACATTGTTTAACCCCTACATACAAGAGATACTTACTTTAATTTATTCTTAATTTTTAACCAAGTCCGATGTGATCAATAACTAAATAATTATTCAAAAATATTGTTTTATTTATTATGCTTATCTAGTAGTAGAATCAAAAATTCGTACATACCCAAATTTTATTTTTAAAATTATTTTTACACAGATGCAAATAGGTATGGACAAGTCTAGGCCACTCATTTACCAGCAGCGCCCACTTTCTTAAAAAAAATTCAATCAAAACATATATTTTTCATCCCATTCTAATTTAACATAAGTATTTTAGTAGCATCATTTTAAAAGTTTAAATCTTTGAATAATACAAGAATAAATATTTTAATAATAAATAAACAAGGATCAATGATTATAATTTCTAAAGTCATAATCCATTTAGCCTTATGGATTCTCATTTAATGATTATCTTCTTTAAAATCACTCGATGATATGGCAGAAGATGGAACTATTGACTCTTCCTCTACAAGACAAATTAAGACAGTTAGATCAGTAAGTAATAATATATATTATATAATATAAAGAATGAAAATGAATATAAATCAAATAACTTATTCAAATTACTATCAACAGCACGTAAAATCTCATCAAAATAGTTAATATCAATCTTTTTTAATAAGGTGCATAATGTTGATAATAGCCAATTCTGGGTGCAAATGAGTGCTTTGGCTATTTTTAAAGATAAGGGACTTTTGAAAATATCTAGTACTCGACCCTTAGTACTAAAAGCAAATTTCAAAGGCTGTAAGAGTTACAGAGTACTCATTAAATAAGCGATATAAAAGCCCTATAATCTCCTTTTTCATCATTTCTCTTTATATAATCATCGATAAAAGGTTTGAAAGCAACTTTAACATAAGAAAATTTATATCTAAAGTCAAGAATCATTGCTATCACTAACAATGGATTCATGTTCTATGCCTTTCCCCAGTGCTTATCATACTTACTTTACATCTTGTTTGCCATGTCACTCAACAAAGAATTGGATTCAACTACAATTGAATCCAATTATGTCTTGATTGTAACTATATTTTGAAAGCATGTGTTTCATGCGACATAATTTGATCAAAAAAATTGAAGATTCATAGTATAGAACAACTCTAAAAAGGTGAGAAATTCTTTTGTAATACTCCAATCATAGGCATTAGAAGGTTTAATTGTACCTTTATCACCATCATGATCACCAAGTTCATCTTCATCCTCACTTTCCATACTATCATCAACATAGCTTAAGCTTGAAGGTATTTTAACTTTCTTTTTGAAATAGTTCTTGTAATCTTCATATTCATCTTTCATCCCATCAAAAACCTTAGTGAACTTAACGGCATTTTGCAACATAAGGTATGTTAAATTCTACCTATTAATATGAGCAAAAGATTTAAATGTTGGGAAACATTACATATCATAATGCAAACAATCACAATGTAACAATCATGTAGATTACCTAGTGGGACAATTCATGCTAAATAGACTCTTTAAATCAATTCTCAATTTTTCAACAAGCTTCTCGAATTTTTTTAAACCTACCTAGAGAAGATCTAAAAAACTTAATTGCATGCAAAATGAGTTCAATAGATTGATTCATATCTTTAAGGTCCTCCGAAACAATTAAATTTAAAATATGACTAACACACCGCATCTGCAAGAATTATCCATCACATACAAAACCTCCAAAATCCTTCAAACATTTTTTTAAAAAACACAATAGTAGAATCATTAGGAGAAGCATTATCAACAGTAATTGCAAACACTTTCTCAATATCCCAATAGAATAAACATCATTTAATTTCATTGCCAATGGTATCCCTTTTATGGTTTTCAATCACGCAAAAATTCAAAATTTATTTCTGTAATGTCCATTCCTCACAATCCAATGGGCTATCAAACACCTATAGTTAGAATCTTGTATTGAAGTCCAATAATCCATGGTGAGTGACACACGAACTGTAGATTTCTTAAAATACTTTTTCAAATGTTTTGCTTCTTTTAAATATATCATGTAGCATAATTTAGCTATAGTGGTACGAGAGAGGCATGTAAATCTCAGTTTAAGCACTTTCAACATTTTTTAAAACCTCATCCTTCCAAAACTTAAAATGGCATCTCTTTAAAACCTCATCCTTCCAAAACTTAAAATGGCATCTCATTTAAGATGATAAATACAGCAACTACTTTTTTGCATCGCTCTGCATTATACGGGTGATGAGTCATTGATTTACCAAAAGAAGTAGAGAACAAGGACTATCCTGCCCTAGCTTTGTTTAAATTCTTTGGGCAAGAATTAAAATGTCACCAAAGGTTCTTAGTCCTAGTTTTAGAAGAAAGGCCAACAAAATCTTTTCCACAATAATTGTATTTAGCCTGACGCTCATCTATTTTATTTATAAACTTTCAAAATGATTTCACATTTAAGATATTGTGCTCCTTTTTTATTTGAAGCGTGATGCTTCTTCAACTTAGGTAGCTTTAGATTCAGTGGGTGCTGTGGTAGTGGTGGTACCTTTAGGTTTATAGTCCACAGCTTTCACATTTTTCATAGTAAATTTAAAAGTAAAAATGACATAACAGCCAAAACAAACCAATTACATATGTATTTATTGTTAGGTATAGCACATTAACAATTACAAACAATACAATTACTAAAAAGCCCTAGCAAATCCATAGCTTTCACATTTTTCATAGTAAATTTAAAAGTAAAAACTATATAACAGTCAAAACAAACCAATTTCATATATATTTAGTGTTAGATACAGCACATTAACAATTACAAACAATACAATTACCACAAAGCCCTGGCAAACGGATAATGCAAGAAGACGTGGGAAACAGTCTCTGAATCAAATTAACAAAAAGGATAGACTTTAACATTAAAAGAAATATGCCATGCATGGTAAATTAAAGCAAATGCTCATATGAAAAAGTTGCATCACCAATAACAGATCCTAGTTGTCTGATTTATCAGAAGGTATTGGCAAACAATTAGATTTAAAACATATATATAATAAAATTTAAAACTTAGAAGCATATAGCCTTTACAGCACTAAACCACGTGGTGTTTGTGTAGCCATAAAATGAAGACTTTGTTAAGGGCTGATTGAGAGCCTATTCAATTCAGTTTCCATAGATTTTTATGAACAAGCTAAGTATGCTTACATAGTCACAAGTCATCAAAGATATAACCAGATCATGCACAGCACAAACTAAAATTGTTAGAAAACTAATATCCATGAACAACAAGTACTAAACCCAGCCAATAAGAGAAGTGTGTCTAACTTGCTAAGCAAATCCTAAAAGAGGAATCATATTTTAAATCTAATCATATTATTTCTGATACAGTCATAAAGAATGAGAATGGAAAACACCAAAGAAATATATAAGCTTTAAAAGAACATATAACCAGAGTGAATCGGAACATATAATCAGAGCATTCAGATTTCAGGCTTTCAACATAAGCATAAGTGCACAAATATAACTAGAGTATTAAACTAACAACAGCTAGTAGCAGTCAGGGAGAGGACGAGAATGATGTGACTTACTTGAGTTGCTAAGGTGAAGGCGAAGCTTGCAAAAAGGTGAACGCCGAATGAGGAAACTAAAACTGAAGCTGAAATCTCTTGCAGTCTTGCTCGACTTAAGTTGTCACCCGAAGTCGCAAACAGAGAAGGGGAGACGGCCAAAGGGAACACTAGACAAGAGCGACTGGCTGTGGCTGGCAATTGGTGAAGGAAAACCCCAAATAAATGAGAAGCAAAGTAAAGGAGACTGGAGAGGATGAGAGCTAGGTTGGTCAAGCGTCAGGGTCAGTTGCTCTTCCTCAGTTAAGGCACAGGTGCACAAGCATAGCCACAGGTTGAAGGCTTCACTCAGGCCTAGGGGCCTTAGCTCTAGAGTTGGTAATTCAGGCGAGTCAGTTTATTTGGAATGGGCTCAATTCAAGGCAGACTTATTTAGATTGAATTTAAAGTATCCTATCCTTTTAAAAAATCCATATAACCAAGCCTGACCCTAATACCTTTGGGTCTCGAGCTTATTCGGACTAGTCCAAATACCCAAAACTTTTTAAAAGTATTTTTTATTTATTTTTTGAATTAATTTTAATTTTTAAATAATTCTATTAAGCATAAAATGTTATCTTAATTTTAAAAGAATAAAATTAAAAATAACTTATCAACTTTGTACTTAAGTAGCTCTGTTATTATTTTATTGTGTTATGTATAATTTATTCATAAATGTTTTCTTTACTTGTAAATTAATGTCTTAATTATTTAAATATTACTCTTATCATAATCATATATAAATATTTTATATATTTTAATTAAATTATATTATTTTAATTATGATTAAGTTAATCTTAATTCAATTATAGTTAGACTACTAACTTAAAATTATTATTTCAATTAGTTCAAAATTTTTAATAACTTTTAGATAAATTATACTTTTCATTTTTATGAATATAAGAAAAATTATCATTATTATATTATATAAAAAAATTATTTAGTTATGAGTAAAATATTATGTTTTTGAAATCATATTTCTTTAACTTTTTATATTGTTTAACTCTTATATATAAGGAATTTTTATTCTAGTTTACTCTTAATTTTTAATTAAGTCTAGCATGAATAATAAAAAATTCATTATTCAAGAATATTATTCTATTTATTAAGTTTATCTAATAGTAGAATGAGAAATTCATACATGCTTGAATTTTATTTTTAAAATTATTTTTAATTTTATTTTTACTTTAAAATTGACTATCTTAATTTATAAAAAATATGAAATTATTTTTTTATATGCAAATTATTTATAGGATTCAAAATTTTTAAAAAAATTCAGTCTTAAAATATAAAAATTAATGTTAAATTATATTTTAAATATTATTTTGAAATATTTTATTAATTAAAAATAATAAAATATGAAATATAACTATTTTAAATTTTTTTAAAAAAATAGCTATATTAAAACACTCATATATATAGTATTTTGGTATAAAATGATATAAAACTTAAAAAATTAATTAATATTTATCATATTTTATATTTTTAAACAATTATTTTTTTATTCAGGTATTCGAGCCAAACCCAAACTCTATTGGGCTTGGTCCGAATTTCCTCAGACCTATTCAAGCGGCTTGAACAATAAAAAAAATTATATTTTTTCAGGCTTTGCCCTAAATTTTTCGGGCAGATTTGGGCTGGCTCATCGAGCTTGACCCAAATTATCGACTTTATTTAGATCTCTCAATTTTGAATTTTTTAAAATTGTCACCCTAGGCCCAATGAAGAACTGAAGAATTTTATTTAAAAAATAATTATTATGTATAGGCAAGTATGGGCCACCAGTTACCTTTCTCGTTACCCGCTTGTATTTTCATGTGTGAGTATATACCTGCCCATACTCATTTATTTTTTTTTAGAGAATGGGTATGGGTTGACCCATTTTAAGACGAGTCAAGTGAGTATGTAGGTTTCTAGATAAATTGCACACCTTTATTGGATTGTGGTGGGCAGCTTCTTCTGAGGTTAGTTATGGCGGAGGTATTTTAAGCCACAATGGATGCACTCAAAATTTGAAAAATGCTTGTTTTACTCTAGTTGTCTTGTTTTTTAATACTCAACTTGTATCTCATGGTTCTACATTATCTCCTGTTCTGATTTTATTCGCTCTCAAGGGTGTTGATTTATGATCTATTTTCCAATAGGTTTGGGATCCCAAACTATAAAAAAAAAATGGTTTTGAAAACTTTGATTTTGTTAACCTTAGTCGCGGTTGATTCTTATTTCTAAGGGGTTGTTTAATTAGTAGAGTTTTAGAGTGGGTTAATGCTGAAAGTCATTACACTTCATGTCATGATCGCTTTAAGAGAGCAATGGTAGAGAAGAGAAGAGCAAGTAATGACAATTTTCAGGGTAACAAAGGAAGATAAAAAGAGCTAGAAAAACAAGAAGGTAATAAAAGAAAAAGGAACAAAAAGAATCAAAATTCTGAGTTTTACATCAAACTATCAATAGTAGTTTCGGGTCTCTGAAACAGAGTGAGCGACAAGAAGGTTTACTCTCCCCAACAGATAGTGTGTTCGAGCACAGAGAGGGACGGGGAAACGTGGACTGAGAGTGAAAGAGAGATAGAGATGAGTCAAAAAAACATAAAAAACACCAACTGGCGAGATCCATTAATAGGAGGAGGGATTCAACTTAGAGGCACGGTGATTTGAGAAATAGAACTAACCCACAAAAAATTAAAATATTCAGTAATATTTTAGATAAAGTAGAAAGATAAAAATAATTTTAATTTTCTTTTTAACAGCAACTCAAAATAATCATAAATTTTATTTTTTTTAAATTCAGATTATTCTTTTTTTGACATCAATGTCAAATTGTTTACCTTGAGAAAGCTTAGGCGACCTGGATCACAAACTCACCAACGTCAAGACTCTATAACCTCGTAAATTACCGTCCAAATCCTCATCAAGAATGAATAATACAAAATGATTATAACATAAATATATAGCAAAAAAATTCAAGTCGATCTTCTTCCGGCAATTTATTCATGACATTTCAAACTCCGAATACCTTCCCCCCCCCCCCAAAAAAAAAATTTAAAAAAAAAATGGACGCATATCCAGCATATAAGTTTCATTTTCGTGATGATCTTTTCGCAATTAACTTCAGCTACAATGGGGAAGACGATCCAAAAGAAAGACTGCAATATCACTGACGGACACACAGAAGACGTCAGTGATGACTTCAATTATAAATAAAGACGACAATGACCTATTGTATCAAAATAGAAAACGACGATGAACTCGTAAAATGAAATGAAAAAACACGGCTTTAAGCTTACTACGCTACTTGCTATGCATCAAATCCATTGCCATCTTTGTACACTGCAGGAAACAGCAAAAGCCAAGCCAGAGATGGCTTGAGGCAAAATTCGTATCCAATGAAAATTTATTTGAGCCGGCATTATACAACTTTCCCCAAAAGTAAAGTCAGTCAAATAATAGTAATTCCAACAAAACAGTCATTCATGTACATTTCACATCAATAGACCCCTTGGTCATGAAGGAACAACCTGAGGCTGTAACGAAGACCCCTCCTCGTCTTCTGGCCCATTATTACTCACCGGGCTTGAGCTCTCTTGCACAATCTTTTCCACTTCCTGCTCAAAACCTTGCTTGAATCGATCATAATTGGTGACTTCACCCGTCTGGAATGGCCGCTCACCCAGTACTCGAACCAAATCATCCTGGTGCAGTACTTCTTTCTCCAGCAATAACTCAGCAATTTGAGCCACGTGCTCCTTGTGTTCCTCAATCAGCTGCACAGTTCGTTTGTATGCTTTACCTATCCATTCTCGCACTTCTGAGTCGATCATTGCAGCAGTCTTGCTGCTGTATGGTTTCGACATCCCGAATGAGTCTTCTGTGGGAGGGAAAGAAAGCAGGCCCACTTTGTCACTAAAACCATAAACTGCTACTTGTGCATATGTCACCTTAGTCACTTTCTCCAAGTCATTTTGTGCTCCTGTTGAGATTTTCCCTATGAGAACCTGCGGTCGCAGGAGTAAAAAAACATCATTATCATAATTACAATTAAAATTGCACAAGCTAACTGTCTTCTACTTCTTTTAGATCCCCATTCCCAACACATTTCCCAGATCTGTTTAAGAAACATCAGGAACATCAATGACAGAACAGTAATTAGCCTGATAAAATATCCACTTGTACATATATGACATCTACTCTTTGTAAAGAACAAAAACGGAAAATCAAGACAGAAAGTTACAAAGCTGAAGCTACCTGCTCGGCTGCCCTACCACCAAGGGTCATGCAAGTCATATCAAAAAGCTGCTCCTTTGTCATCAGAAGGTTCTCATTCGGAACATACTGGGCAAACCCAAGAGCAGCTGTGCCACGAGGAACTATAGTTACTTTTAATAGCGGCTCTGCATGTTCCAAGAACCAGCCAGCAACGGCATGGCCTGATTCATGGTATGCAACAGTACGCCTTTCAAGCTTGCTTATTACCTGGTTGAAAAACATGTATCAGAATAATCCTCACAAGTTGAATGAATAACAGATAGATGGATGCTTTAGTTAACAATAGTAGTTGCTCATCAAGGCCAGCTTTAGCCAGTAAGTAATAAGTATACTGTTTTGCGAGATGCATTTTTCCTTAGAGAAGGAAATAAAAAATTACATCAGTTTTCCCATGTAAAGTTGGGGATTAAATACAGACATAGGACGCGTGAGCTGCAAAAGACGAGTAGATTCTAAAGCCACACAAAACAAAGTAAGTTAGGAAACCATTGGGCTATAGGATGTGAGTTGTGACAGAGACTAGTTTCTAGAGCCACATAATGCAAAGATTAATATATTGATATAACATAACATGTGAAAAAGAAAATTCATACCCTCCAAAAAATAGATTAAATGTAGCAAAATATAAATTAATGCTAATTTAAGAATTTAAGAAATCTATAAATTTAAGAAAAAGTCTACTTTCAGATAACAATATTAAATCACCAGATATTACAATAAATACCATGACATAATGATTTAAGTTACATTTTAGGTAGACTTTGCCATCAAATCACACTTAATTTTAACAAATAGATGCATCATTCCTGCCCCCACAACAATCAAGGCTAAAAAATATGGTAAACATGGATGAAGCAGGCTCCAACCCATGATATGCAGTATTTTTACACACTCAACCCCTCCAACATCTTCCTAATGCTGATAAACGAGTAAAACTTTCAAAATACATACCTTGTTCTTCTTCTCCAACCCACCGATGATCCGATCAATAGCTGCCTCAAAGTGTTTCATTGTGACTTCCGTTACATCATTTCTGGCAGCAATCAGAGCAGCTTCATTGCATACATTAGCAATGTCTGCTCCAGCAAATCCAGGAGTAAGTGCTGCAAGCCTCTCCGAATAATATGAAGGTGCTTGATCAAGTTTGATCTTTTTCAGATAGATCTGGAATATTTGATTGCGGCCTTTAATATCAGGTTTATCAATAGTAATCTGGCGGTCAAATCGCCCTGGCCTAAGCAGGGCTTTGTCTAAAATATCAGGTCTATTTGTGCCAGCAAGCACAACCACCCCAGAAGTGGTTCCAAAACCATCCATTTCAACCAACAATTGATTTAATGTACTTTCACGCTCATCATTGGCACCAGAGAAACCTCCACGGCCCCTTGCTCGACCAATAGCATCAATCTCATCAATAAATATTATACTGGGTGCACACTGCCTTGCTTCTTGAAACAAGTTTCTCACCCTAGATGGTCCAACCCCAACAAACATCTCCATGAAATCAGAACCAGAAATAGAGAGAAATGGCACACCAGATTCCCCAGCAGTGGCTTTTGCTAGAAGTGTTTTCCCTGTGCCAGGAGGGCCAACTAGAAGTGCACCTTTTGGAATTTTCGCTCCCAATTCTTCATATTTTTTCGGACTCTTGAGAAAATGAACAAACTCCATAATTTCTTGCTTAGCCTCATCACATCCAGCAACATCTTTAAAATAGACCTAAATAAAGAGGAAAAAAGGTTTTAGAAGTTGCCCGCTGAACAAACTTATTCACCAAGTTATCCTCTGCACCATTTCTCCCCAAAGAAATAATAATGAAAAATTAAAGAAAGCAAGTAAAATTGTACGCAACATGCATGCCAACCTTGTTCTTGGAGTTTTTATCAAATTTAGTAACATGGGCTTTTCCAATGTTGAATATTCCACGGGCACCCTTATTGCCATTACCACCAACACCAAGTCCACCTTGCATTCTCCTTCCCATATAAAGGAGAGATCCCAAAAGCAAGATGGTGGGAGCAAACCTCATTAATTCATGGTGCCAAACCATTTCAGAGACATATGTGACAGGCACATAATTATGAGGGTCAATGCCTAGTGCTTCCTGTGCTTCCTCTAGCTTCTCCTCAAAAGACTCAACACTTCCAATATTGAAGTAGTACTTGTAATGGCTGCTAGTTCCCCCAACAGTAGCAGGGGCAGGCCCTCGTACGAGATCACTGTCTGTTTGATTGCCAGCAGAATTCCTTACATATATTTTAGCAACAGATTTATTTGAAACTACAATATGATCTACCAATCCTGGCTCCAAAAGCTTGTTCTTAAACTCTTGAAAGCTTATCTGTAAAACAGCAAATTCTAGTCCACATCAGCTAAATGATTATCGCAAAAGAAGTAAAAGAAATTATTTGCATCAAGACAAATGAACAGACATCCCATTGCTATTATGTGTTACCATGCAAAGACACCATTCACACAAGCAAGAACGAAAGAACCTACAGGAAGGCAAGCTAATAAAGAGTTTCCAACAAGACTGAAGTAAAGAGATGAGAATATGTTAACCATGGTAATAATATTACATAGTAGCAAGCTAACTTCATAGATCATTAATCTCAGTACAAAACGGAAACATAGAACTCATCAAGCAGATGGGAAGTAACAAAAAGTTTCGGTCATGAAGACAGCTCAAATAAGAAGTACCTTGGAGTGAAAATTGTTCGTATAATCAATAAGAATTGACGTTTATCTATTTACTTAGGAAAACAAGTATGCGCAAAGGAAGTCTACAGAATAAGATATACATAAAAACCGGAAGATCCCACCAGTAATAGTAATATAGACATAATATGGTAATAGAAAACAATGGTCCATTTTCACAATTTCTTTTTTATTTTATCCCCCCTTCGGAAGTTGTAAATAGTAGTTCAGAAAGCTCTGGAAAGAGTGCTCCAATATTACTGAGTAAAAAGGTGCATAAAACTCCCAATTTTGAACAGTTATAACTCATCCTTGGTGATTAGATAGCTGAGACAATACACAAACACATTGCAAACCATTGCAGGCGTAGAATGATTAAAGCCAAGCTCACCTCTTGCTGTTCATGGGGACCAAGAGAAAATGATGAAAGAAATAGCCCAATCACCAGTAAAGGTGTCAATAGACTCTGAAATTGCTTAATGAAAGTTTCATTAAAATTTCCATGATCATCTGTGTTCGTGTTTGATTCATCTGAAAATAAGATAGACAATTCTAGTGTTAAAAGTAGTAAAGCAGGTGTCCTTTCCATCATTAAAAAACTTGGACAGCAGACGCAAGAGAAACAGAAAATGACTCCAGAAGCCAAAATCACCCAATTAAACTACACTTGTAGTCTTGTAAACTGCAGTTGGAGAAGATAAAATTTAGCCGTCTTAAAGTAAAACAATTCAAATTAGATCCTCACAAGAAGACAAGAAGGATCCTACTTGGTTTTCCATTTTCCCATCAGTGGGAAAGTACCTGTATTAATTGCAATAAGAAAAATCTCAGGTCTACGAAAGTCTACCCTGCAGACAAGACAAGCTTAACTGAAAAACCCCGCTCCCAGCTTCACTCCAACTCCAAAGTCCTAATCCGAATGCGAATCACATATAAAATTACAGCATCCCACCATATTTGTTATTAGTTATAGCCACCAATTAAGTGGCCCGTGAATACTGAACTTCTGCTCAATAAATTACATTGTTCAAAACTTGGGAATATTATACTGTACAGTTTATATTTTATAGATATATTGATTGATTCTGAACAGTTTGCAATTAAACCCCCTTGTTTTATAAGAAAACAAGGCATACAGCAAGAACTAATAGAGGCATGAGTATAAAATTTTACCTTTAGACTCAGATTTTTGCTCACTTCCCTTTGGACTTTCCTTCTTATCTTTCGGGTAGAAGTTCTCATAATCTACCGAAAATATGAAAAGATTAGAACGTAAACTAGGGAGGAGTTGATAAGGTGCCAACACTAATAGAAGAAATTTCATGATGCTAATCGCGCACAACAATTTAGTAATTTAACGAGCTCGAATATAATCCTTACTCTTTTTCTCTGGGCCTTCACTAGAGTACAGCCGGTAAAGTGTAGGGTTAGCTGAAAGATATCTAACAACAGACCAACTGGAAAGGAAGGATTTGCGAGCTCCAACCAAAGCTGAATAACCCCTCAAAATCCCCAATCCCCCTTCTGCTCCACAGTAATGAGCTTGCGTTCTGGGCGCTAAGAGGCGGTTTGGGACGGTTCGGGTCCCATCGCCATGCAGCAAATTCTAGCATCCAAAAGGGGGAAGTGAATTTTTTTTATAATGAATCAACTACACCGCATTCAAATAATCGAGAATAAAAAAGCAGCTTACATTAGAACGAGCAGAGCGCGAAAGGGAGCGGCTGATCCTGGAAAAGATCATCTTCCGAAAGTCTTGTGCAGACAAAGAAGGGGAATGTTATGATATCTCGAAATTTATCTGAGAAGTGAAAAACGACAGATCTGAAGCAGGAAAAAATATAGAAAATGACGTCGAGGATAAGAAATTCAAAAAGGAAAAGCGATTGCCGGGTGATGAAAATGAACAAAAATAAAAATAAATCAAGACCATGAGGGGACAGAAATTATTGTCGCCGATCATTCACCATGGGTTCAATCTATAGAGAGAAGAGAGGGCAGAAGAGAAGCAGGTTGAGCTCAAGGGGGAAGTTTTCAAGATTATTAATAAAGATTAATTAATTTAAAGGGGTGTTTGGAGTTCTACACAAAAAAAAAAAAAAAAAAAAAAAAAAAAAAAAACAGATATCGTATCCCATTCTCTTGAGGGGAAAATTCGTGGGTGGACGGCATCACTACGTCGGCTAAAACAAACTTGGCAACCAAGCCGGCCCGTCCGCCTTTCGCTATTTTTATCTTCTCATAGCTCGTACTTCCACTATTTTTTTTTTTTTTTCGTCGTCCTCTCATACCTACATTTAAATCCTATCAAATATATTAACAACCATTAAATTTAAATCAAAATAATTATTAAAACTATGAAAAATTAGCTATATTATTCATTCCTTACAAAATAATAATACGGCTCCCGATATATTGATGTAATTGGATTGGATATGTCTTTGTTTGCTTAGTATATATAAATGTATGACTTTTATGTTAAAATTATAAATATTGAGAAGCGTTGTTTACATCGAGAAAAATTCTGAATTACATGTTTTTATTTTTAAAAATAAAGAATAAATAAATTATTGGATATGTATTTTGAATTTAACCATTTTTAAAAATATTTTTATTATTTTTTAAAAAATAAACAATTTTAGCATTGTTTCATTTCTTAATTTAAAGCAAACTACATTTTACTACTGTAAAATGTGAAGATAATTTATCTTTAAGTGTGACCAACTACTATTATAGGAGTAGGTTATCATCATTAACAACTAGTGAATAATACTATTGGCCGCCTGTTTAACTCTAAATTTGTTTTCAGATTAACATGGCCAAATATATTTTTGTTTTGTTTTGTTTTAAAAATTAATTTATAAAATAATTTTGAAAACAAGACGAAACAACTCCTAACTTTGAGTGTTTGTTCATTGTTTCGAGCAAATGATGGGAGAGTGACCAAAATTGTTTTTTTTTTTAATACAAGAGGTGGTCTAAGCCCAGAAGAAACCTAAAGTAATGAAAAGTTGGGCATCAGCCCAATAGACTCGGTTTGCAATAGGGCTCTCAGAGAAGGCGGAGCCATGTCATAGAAGGAAAATGTATTTAGACCTACCTTTGCCAACTTTTCTACAACCTTGTTCTATTCTCTTAAGATGTGTTCCTGATCTTTTGAAGCATACCTCACTTGACTCTTCCTTTTTTTTTTGGGGGGGTTTTTGAAGCAGTAGACTGGGCCTAAACCATTTCATGCTGCTGTGATATTCAAATAAGGTGGAACTTCCCTGGACCTAATCAAGTTTGAACCTCTATTCAACGAAAAAAAATTGTAGCCCATTGCCATAAATCTAGATCTTGAGCAATATCCAAGCCCCCACACGTAGCAGTATTGACATAAAGAAATTTTAAAGATTATGACTTTATTTGATGAGATATATCTTTAGACATGCATATACTGTAACATCTTAAGTTTAAAATTTAGAATCTAATTTTTAATTAAAGATAAATTAGCAAATTAAGAATTAATTAACTTAATTATGTTTTCAATTGTAAATTGACATTTTTGATATTAGACAGTTTTAAGGTTGAATTAGGATAAAAGTTGAATTGGATTAGATTTGAGTTTGGTGAACTAAAGTGAGACTTTGCTCATTACGCCCCAAACTATGGCTTGTGCACAATAAGCTACAATGCATGGAGTATTTTTTGCACTGATAAGCCATGTAACAACTCAAAAAATCAAAAGAAAAGTCAAGTATTTTGGGGAGCTCGGAGGAAAAAGCAAAATCCTCTACTAGGAGTTGAAGATTCAAGTGCTTGGGAGCTATTTTGGATTGTAAATCTTTCAGTAAGTTTCAAGAAATTGCACCTTAATCGAGCAAAATCGCCCTTTTGTTTTCTCCCATCTTCTCACACATTCTAATCTAATTTTCAACATAGGGTCTTTTATTTGCATTTTCAATCCCAACTTATCATGGCTTATGCATTTCACAACCATAGATGATTGAAGCCACTTAAACTAGTCCGTTGTTTAAGATCGTGGATAGTTGAAACATGTACTTGGTTTAACCACGGGTGGTCTTAAATAGAGAGCACTACCTTAACTTGCAAAGCTTGACCATAAGTTGCAATAAATAGAATCACCACATACTCCTTAATTTATCACCAAACCTCAACTTAACCACTCTAAGTCTCAAACAACCAACACATTTAGATTGCTAGCTATTCATTAACCTCAATAAACCTTAACTTATCATAATCCCACAAAGAAATGCTCAATCATGCACACTTCCCTCAGTTAATTCCCTAACTTAAAAATTAGGATGTCATTCAAAGTAGGCATATAATTATATAGAAAACCATATCCACATCCATCCATAACACAGGCTATTACAGTCACAAATTTAGCAACCACGTGACTGATAACAATAATATACATTATCAATATCTCCTTTCTAACTTCCTAATACCTCAAACAAAAAACCATGGGCTATTAAATCAAATAGGGTTCTATCATATAAATGGACTATCTAAACTCATTAATTGTGAGGAACAGCCTGCCCAAATATTAGTGCGCTCACTCTTAGACCACAATTTCTCCTGTTCTTGAATCCTTAGAATGTCATTGACTTTAAACAAACTTCCTAAGAGAATAAGTAGAGATAAGTTAGGTTTAAGTCCTTTGAAAAATAATGAGATAGGGGCTAGCCTTTGGTTACCAAAAGATGGCATACCACGTATATTTACACTACTTTTCTCCCTAGAGCGAACTCCTACCAATATGATCATTCAACAAACATGCTCAACACACAAAGCATGCCAAGAATTATCACATCAAGTTCAAGGCATTTAGTATACCATATATCACATTCACAACATCATAATCTCATCACAAAAATGGGTTCACATCCTTCATGTTCTCAATTCAATAAAAATCACCCATTTACATCTCACAAGCCATCATCTCATTATTTTTAGGAAAACAATTGCAAGCTTTCCATTTGAAAATCATATTATCAATTCTTGATATTGACATCAACATTCACATTTTTCTAGAATCATTTAACTCAAAGTAACTTAACCACAAGTTTCAAAGCCATACTTGTATTCGTCATTTTAAAAATATAACTCATAACATAACAATTATGGAAAGTAGTTTTTACATGTTGCACAAGCTTTTCTAAAACTCTACAGTTAATCAAACAAGTCAATGCACAAAATTAGATTCCTTTAATTACTTTAAATTTTTAAGAGGTCAAAAATCTATTATCAATGTTAACTCGCTTTAAAAGCTAGTTCCAAGCTCAAATAGTGCACAAATGATTAATCTACAACTAATAGCACTGATCATCATTAACATCATCATTAACATACTGTTAGTTTCCAATTCTAGCACTTCAATTACTCAAAACCCTCAACCTCTTGTATTTACTCACATCCATTAGGCGCATTAGTTTCTATTAACTTCAATTAATTTCATTACAATTAATAACTACCATTGATGGCTATCAACAACCTTCAACAATTATAATAAATGAAAATTTATGTTCAATAATACGGACTCGTTTGGCATTCACAAGAGAACATTAAATCATCAAACTTAGGAGTATATAATTCAAATAATTTTTATTGACTTCATATGAGCTAATGGGTTTAGACCTAATGGCCTTTGAGTTTAAAAATCATTTTCTCATAGTAAACCCTAGTTCAAAAATTAACTAAAGAGAAAGAGGAAGGAAAAGAATGACATAGGAAACTGACCTAAATAATTAAAAATAGTTTATCTTAATTACTTTACATTTTTTTGTTATATAAATACAATTAACAATAATATTCATGATATAGAACAATTTAATATTATAATTTTGCTTTATTTTTGAACAAACATTAACTAATAAAAAATGTCATATATTTTAGATAAAAAATAAATATGCATAATTAAAAAAACAAGGATGAGAATGAAAAGTGGGGAACACTGCCTACACAGGTTTCTTGTGGGTGGAGGGTGGTCACTAGAATCGAGAATAAGAGTTAGACTTGAAAGGTCAGGCTTGAAGGTCCTATTTAAATAAAGGTTTAAGTTTTTAAAATAATTTTTTTAAGTAATCACGCTTGAGGGCATAGACGTGATAAGCCTTATAAAAAAGAGCTTGAACCCGAGCGACCTTTTAGGCCCTGTATTATTATTATTATTATTATTATTATTATTATTATTATTATTATTATTATTTTATCTGGTGAAACACATGTTTAAAGCCAAGGACTTGCTTATCTAAAGCCTTGATCCTACACACATTATATTATTATTAATTTTAATTTATTTTAAAATTAATTTAATATAATTTAATTAATATCACTATGCAATATATAGTTTTTTGATATTTTTTATTTTTTTATAATTATTATGTTTGTATATTTATAAAAAAATAAAATATTTTTAATCAATATTTAAATTTCATTATTAGAATTTTAAATATATGTTGTTTAATTTTTAAAAGATCATAAAAATTTTATTTTTTTTTAATTTTAAAATATTTTAATTAATTTATAGTGTTTAATTTTATTTTAATTTATTTTATATTTTTTTAAAATAAGACTTATGAATTTGGCCTTAAACTTTTTAAATAAAAACTCGGCTTAAAAAAAAGTAAAAAATAAAAAATTAAATTTAAAAATTTAAGTCTTTATGAGCTTGGTCCTCTTAAGAGTTGAGGTCGGCTGTTTCCTCGCTAGTCATTGGGAGCAAATAAGCACCCCAAGAGGGGGCCACGTGACATGTCCACGTAGATCATCAAACCTGAACGCAGACGCGCCACGTGCATGGGAAGACTTGCACAGGTGTCACTTTCGCATCCACAAAACGGGACGAAGGCCGAGCGTGTTCCAGAAGAAGCCACTCGCAAGTACTACCATTCGCTAAAAGTGCTGAAAGGGTTCACACGGTCACACCCATGGTCCCCCACCAGCCAAGTGCTCTTCTTCCCCTTTCCTATATATACCCGCCCCTCTCCCTTCTTTCCCTCCACTGCTTCCATTTTATTGGACACATGGAGATGACGATGCCGATGAGCTCGGGCGGAGGCGGGGCGGAGGAGAA